TTTTGGTATAAAGTTATAATCGATTAGCTATTTTGTATAAATAAAGTATTTGATACTATTTTATAGATATTTATATCCAATACATCCCAATTTCCTGCATTTTTGAGCGGTGTTCGTTGTTGGGTAAACCTCCGACAAAATTAGACGTATTCGGTATACCGAAATAGACACTTATACTTGAACGAGTCTTATGATAGGTAGATATTTATAATCAATGATATTAATTATTGACCGATTTAGTTCGTAGCCAACAACTAGTTTACGTGCTCGAAATGATACCGTTCTTTCGTGAAACAGAATATGGGTACTCTGTCGATATATTCTACAGCATAATATTACGTTGCCTACCATATCTCAGCGACTTTCCATCCCGCCGGTGCGTGTTGACGTGTCTGTCTTCTCTAGAAATGGCTCAGACCTGTTCATTGAAGATTACTCGCGACTGATTTTTGGAGTTTTCCATGCTGAGCGATGGAGGGGAACTGATTATTTGGTGCGAGAAATCTCAAAAAAAAAAAAAATTACCGTCATCGCCCGGATCTGCGAAAAACTCATTCCAAGTACACGCCTGAACGACGATACGGCATTATTATTATGTAACAGTTGAGCATACCGAGTGGTCCGAATTCACAGGTGGGAATATATTCCATGACATACGGTATAGTGTAGGCACTTAAAACGGACCCAAGGAGGTCCCCTAGCGCGGGTAGCGGGTTTCGAAACGCGAAACGTAGACGACCTGCATATTATTATGTATATTATACTATTATAGTACGCACGTGTAATCGCCGTCGTCATCATCACCGTCGTCGACGGCGTTTTTAACATGCACCGCCGCCACTATAAACGCCCTGCACCGGTGTAGTTTTATCTGGACAGATCATCTGCATCACATCGCCTTGACTATAACACAAAACCTGCACTGCACAAACGATACTATCGGGTACACTAACACACACACACACACGCACACACGCACACACGCTCACACTACGTGGACCTTCTTGGCACACGACGGCGGCGGAGGGTTTTCTTTTTTACACGATAGTGATTAGTACCTAAACAGACCATAGGTGGACTGCATATTTTGTTGTTTATTATTATAGGCGTAGTTCCTCCTACAGTGTTGATAATAATATTAACGTGTATTAGTAATATTCTATAATCATACTATTTACGATATTGTTATTATCATTAATGTTGTACAGAAATCGAAAAACAAATAGTTATTATGATAATATTATTTCTCTCTCGTCGACGATTACCTAACATTGTAATATTATCATATCACGATGTCGATCGGGAGTGCATTGTAAATAAAATATAAATAAATTATCAAGTGAACTTTTCTATAGAAAACTCGCTTTTTTTCTCCCTCAACATCACCAAGACATTATCCTATAGTAAAATGATAGTTATAATTGCAGATAATAGGTGGTCGTCTCCGCGTGTCCGCGCCATTTACATAAAAAAACTAACCATCATTACATACGACCTGTTGCAGCACACTAACATCTGCACGGACGCGTCGCTACCTGCAGCAATCGAGACACGCCAATTAATGTATTAATATTATGTTCTGTCGCATAATATTATAAATAAAAAAAACACAAGTTATAATGATATTATATCGGTATTAATATTTTCCGTGTTGTGCGGCGTATCGCGTCGATCTGGCCTATAGAGACGGCGGCGGTTATCGATCCGACCGGAAATCATCGGCCGGTGCTATCGATGCTGCAGTTTAAACGCGCATAATTATCATTAATATTATTACCTTTATATAAATAATATTATTATTATTATTATCGTGTTTTATTCGACACGACAACGCGCGTTCGATCCGATCGCGTTTTCGGAAATTATTATAATATACCCGTTGTGGACACAGCACCAGAGATGAGCGGAGTCGTGCACCTGCGCTTTTAATAATATAATATATTATCTACTTATACCCGGCCACCGTACCTGTATTATAGGTAACATGTGATATTAATTATGATTAAAGAGACCATATATATATATATATATTTTTGTATGTAAAAGCGGCACTGCAGGAGGTAGGTTTCCCTGAAGTCTGAACCTTCTTAGAAGTCGAGAAAGATATGGGATTTGACGGGATGAGTATAGCTGCAATGGTAAAAAAGTCCGGGATAAAAAAGTCCGAGGTAAGAAGGTCCGATGTATATATTATTACTCAACAATATTTAAAATAATAAATTTAAAAGAATAAAATTCAGTGATTAGAATTAGGTATTTAGGTATAATCATTACCATCATATACATAATAATATATTAAAATGGTTTCTCAGTAAGTATTAATACTAAGTTAACTATTTTAACTAAACGAATTCCGGTATAGAGGTATACATAAAAATATTGAAAATAATATATTTTCCCGGTATAGGCACCCACAAGATTATTTATTAATTTCGTCAGATAAATCATTTAGTTCCAATTTATTTTAATACTAGTCGGAAGTTTTATTGAGCATCGCTTTATATTTTTCCTTTTACCTAATTACATGTACCTTACATTCACCACGCACTTTTATACTCCGACTTATTTTCCTATGAGTTTTTTACCTCGGACTTTTTGGTAGTATACCTGTGGCGGATTATACGGTAGTATATAAAATACAAAAATACCGTAATAATAATAATTGGGGACTTAAATGGAAAAAATATTGTTGAATGTACGTATATTTAATATATGCACAAAAATTCAAAAAAATGTAAACAGATTTTCAAGTAGCATACAGTATGCATAGGTACTTAGAAAAAAATCGTTGTACGTGGCGAGCACCATTATGTATAGACACACATATTTAAAGCAAGAAATGTCTTTAAACGACGACTCTTCAACGCCTGCTTGGCTGCTTATTATTCCACTTATTTTTTTAATTTGAGAACACTAGATTTTTCGAAATTTTAAAGCTACGTGACAGCTTTTCTGGGTTAGAGTTTGAACTTTGGAAAAGCTGAACAGCTGTATCAAATCAAATAAAAATAAAATAAATAAATGTTGTACATCAGAGCAAAATTAAAAACAAATTTTTTATACTATTTACAAATAAATGCGAATTGTATACAATTTATACATTCAATTTTATTCAAGTATATGCAAAAATATACAAAAATATACAACAAAAAAACTGTATCTACCCATACACTAAGAAAAGTTTACATTTTTATTCATAATTATTTTAGATAGATGAATTGGAGAAGGAAATCTGAATATGCATTTGCTGGAAACTCCATACTTAAGACTAATAATATTCTATTAAAATATATTATTTTAAGAATGATAACTAATACACAACGTGTACCTACCTATGTAACTTCATAAAACATCCGTAACTTTTATACTCATACTCGTAGAATGTGGGCACGAAATGTGAGCTACACATTTTTTATTTGTGGGGTGGTTGTACCCATAGGTTATTTAGTTTTGATAAAATCCGAGAAATAACTTCTTTATGACAATTTAAATATATATGTTTAGGTCATATAAAGTATTATCTAATCAGTTTTTTGGAGGGACAAAACGATTTTTCTAGTGAGACTTCAACCCTCTAAACTCCGTCATATGTACCTATGCCAATTATCCACCTTTTTTTTGTAGATACAATAGGCAAATAGTTTACAATTACCAATACATAATATAGCTACGATATGTGCACAAGGCTCGACCATACTAGTTGCAAGTTGCATGATCCATTGGATGCAGTAAACGTCAATCCGCTGCCCTTCAATAAACGCTATTTGAAGTGTTTCTGACGTGCATAATCTTGGCTATAATTTTAACACATATTATACTTAGGTGCTCAAATAAAATGAATATTGATTTGGATACTATTCATGTCGTAAATCGTTATATTATTGGGATTTTTTTTTAAAAAATTGAAACTCCAAAAATAATGAAGTAACGCCCAAAATGAGGTGTTTTTTATTATTATTTATACGCGTTGTCATGTGGGTAACATTGAATTTGTTCATTTCTCCTCGAGCGATTACTATTTAATGAGCCTCTAATATAGGATCGATAAGCGAAAACTATAATATTATTCTACACAAAATTGCATAAATAAAAAATACTGCAGACGTTTGAACGTCGGCAGATATAATATACGACTTGCACTGATTTTTTCTACATAGTGATAATATCAATAATTTAAAATTAAGTTTATTATATTTAACAATAAAAAAAGTTTTTCCCGTAATAAATATAACTGTTATTATTATTATTGTGATCACTGGCATAACTGGGTAAAAAACTAGAAGGGAGAGGAAATAATTTACTCTCCACGGTCGTTACCGTAACCTAATTGTTTGTTTTTACATAAGTCTTAGACCTCATTTTAAGGCTTAGAAACAAATTATAGAGTACCCCACCACCAACACATATCGTTAAAAAATATTAAGCATATTATATGAGTTCATTAAAAAAGGTACAATGACTCAAAAATAAAGTGATGACAAATGACAAATCTGTTGACATATATATATATAAAGATTTATAATTGAGCTATTTTAGTAACCCAAATAATATTGAGAATATACGTCAAAATATTATTGACCACAACATGAAAAACGAAAAGTAAATATACTTACTTATGCGCAATAATTTGAGGAAAAAAATATTCTTATCGTTATTTTCTTACTTTATTTTAGAATAATAATTACGGTTTTTGCTGTTGGTACATATGGGTGCGGGGGCGGCCAAATGTAACATTTGATTACAGCTAGGTAAGTGGTCCCATTCGAGCCACTGATTGTTACCGTATAAATTTGTAAGACTGTTAGGAAATTAAGTCCAGGGGAGGGGGATTTCTCCCACTTGCGGACGCAATGCAGCCCATAATAGGTGGTAGGCTGCGGCCAAGGATATGGTTCAACAATCTTCTGGTAGAGACAACCGTGGTCAGTCACGGGTTTCATCAGGATGTGGTACCCAATATGATATGATACAGGAAAAGAAAAAAATCAAGTCACCAATTTTTTTTTCTTATAAATATATTTAATAGAACTTTTTTTTCAATTTCGTCTCGCGTAAACAAACACAGAGCGGCACAGACATATAATATTATTATTAGGTTCATTTAATATTACAAAAGACTATTACGACGGTACACAAAAAATATGCAAAAAAAAATTTTCATTAAAAAAAAATTATGGAAAAACCGATAGAAACATCGTACAAACGTTACGTTGCAATTCTTATACGATTTCTATCGGTCTTCTCTTAACACATGGATTTGAGCAAAGCTTAACATTATTACGACGACGCGGAGAGGTTCACGCGTCGCACTTTAGTAAAAATAAAAATAGACATACACGGATATAGGACGACACATATCATTATACTACGCTGTACCTATATATATATATAAATTCGAAAATAAAAAAAAATCGTTTACAGGTGCGTCGCGTACGTTTCACATAGGTGGATAGTACCATATAAATATATATTATATTCATAGGTACATATAAATATAGTGTTACATTAGGTATATTGTAATGGAAAAATAAAAAATTTATAATTGGTTTTTTTCACGGACAATCTTTTTGCGTCGTTCACTATTGCGAAGAAAAAAAATTACGGTTTTCAATTGATATTATATACGGTCCGAATAGGAATATATATGCGCGAGAGTAGCTTACATCACACACACACATATATATATATATATAGGTTATATGTTTTATACAAATAAAAAATAATAATATTATGTCCCTGTTTTACCGTTTTCCGTATCACTATCTCGCGACGGTTTTATAACATTTCGTTTCTATCACATCTTGCACGTTTTGTGTATTATAAATATTACAATAAAAATAGTATTATATTATATGAATAGTAATAATAATTCAATCGTCCGTATAATATAATATTTATGATAATATTCTATTCTAAACATAATATTAATATGATATGACGTTGTATAATCTCGTTCGGAAAGAAAACTAATTCGAAAGATATGCGGTTTTCGTGATAAAGTATTTACGTTTTTTATTCATCCCGTTGTAATTTTTATTGGAACGACAGAGGCGGAAAACGCGTACACGTAAAAAAAAACTTTGATTTTTTACCGGACGACGAACCACACGCTTCAAACGATTACGAAAAAAAAAAAATTAATAATAACAGTCGCTTCGCATATCGATTTCGCGATGTTTCTCTTTTCCCGTTAGTCGCTGAACGTTATTTCCCCGTAATCAGGTATATCATAATCATAATATATGGGGACATATCGTTATTAAATTTGAGCAAATATTCGCTTCGGCGATGAGTAACAAAAAATTAAAACAATATACTAACATTATATTATTATACGAATAATGACGGATGACTGTGTAAGTTAGCTGCAGGACGACCCGAATGCATCGAAAACCAAGCCGGAAAATCTCGCGACGATAACAATGGTACAAAAACGAAAAAAAAAATGGTAATAAAAAACGAACTTACATAGGATGGCACGTCGCGGTACATAATACATAATAATATACAAAATAATAGTATCACACACCCTGTTTACACTTGCTTACAAAATAATTAGAGTAGAAAAAAATATGACGACGCGCGAGCGTACGACGGACGTGTTCTGTGTCATCGTCGATATACGAAGACTACACGCGACGACGGATGATTGTCGATTTACGAAAATAAATAATATATTTATAATAAATACGAGAAATATTTTTTCGTGGTGTGCGACGAGACACGGAAGTAGTAAGACAACAAGTCGAGTCGTATATCGTCGACGGACGAAACGAAAAGAAAAATGTATACAAAATAATAATATCAACAATACGTAATACCCGAGAAGAGTATCACGATAATAAAATAATATAATATTATTATCATCTATTATAACATGCATAATAATAGTATTATGATGTATACGAAAAACATATTATTTTAATCGTTTCGGCAAACGAATAAACAATTAATTAAATTAATAATAATAATATACATATACATACGCATAAGACTTATTATAATTTTATCTTTGGTTTTGACAAAAAGCTGTGTGCGCACGTTTATAGTGTGGTTGTGTGTGTGTGTAATCGTTCTTAAGACTAAAAAATGTACATACAATCATAATAATAATAATATTATCAGCTACGATTTACATTTTAATAAATAATTATTAACATATTTTACTATTAAAATATCATTATACAAAAGTGACACGCCAATCTACAAATAAAAATATCAAGACCGTCCGCGCGATGGACCTACCACACCGCTACTGAGGTTCGGACTTGCAGAGGACCTCGAGCGGGGGCGACAGCAACAGTTGGCCGCCGGTGGGCGAGGTGGGTGACGGCGGGTCCAGGCCTAGCGCGGCCGCCATGGCCGCGGCGCCGGACGCCGAAGACGACGAGACCATCTCGTACCGGGAGTGGGTGCGCATGTGCCGCGTGATCATGTCTCGGCGGCACGCGGCGTACGGACATTGCGGACATTTATACGGCTTCTCGCCGGTGTGTGTGCGCTGGTGCGTGCTCAGGTGGTCGGACCGCGAGAACACTTGGCCGCACACGCGGCACGTGTACGGCTTGACGCCTGTATGCAGCCGCATGTGCCGAGTGAGCATGTCGCTCCGCGCGAACGACCGGTTGCACACTTCGCAAGGGTACGCTTTGGCGGTGCCGCCGGACGAGTCACCGCCGTTCTCCGACGACGAGGACGCCGCCGTCCCGGAGCCGGGCGACGACGACGACGACGCCGAGGTCTTGTGCCGCGACGCCATGTGCTTGGCAAGTCGATCGTGCAGGCTGAACATCTGCCCGCACACCGGACACACGTACGCCACGTCCGAGCCGACGGGCATCTCCTCGACCACGGGTGACACTTCTAGGTTGTACCGGACGGCCACCGACGCCTTGGTGGTGCGCGACGCCACGTCGCCTTTGACCACGGGTACGGTGTAACCACCCGCGCTCCCGGGCCGGCTGTAGTAGCCCACCGACACCACTGACGTTGCCTGCGGGCTAGTAGTCGAAGAGGCGGTGGCCGGGAGCGGGGGAGACGGCGTCGACGCGGCGTTGGAGATGGTGGTGAGCTGTTCGGCCGCCGGTGGTTGGGGCGCGGTAAACGGCCAACAACCACCGTTCTTCATGGAGAGGTCGAGCGGGCAGTCTTGTGGCGGTTGAGGTGGAGGCGGCCCGGACGACTTGCATCCGGAGTTAGGGCCCCTCTTCCGAGCCGGCTTGTCCAGTGGATGCGGCACTGAGAACGGCCTTTTGCCCCTCCGACCAACACTCGCGGCTGCAGCCGACGCGGTCACCCGGACAGCCGCGGCCGTCGACGCGGTAGAGTCGTCATTACCACCGCTGCTGCAGTGTTCGGCTTTGGTCGCTTCAAACCACATAGGAACATCGGAGTCGGAGTGACTCCGCCGCTTCCGGAAAATGTCGGGCAGGTACTTGGTGTGCAGGTAGTGTTCGAATGTGTACATCGAACCAGCCAACAGCGACGCCGGCGACATAGGCGTAACGGGCGTCTGCTGTGGGTTCTTGTCGTGATGCATGTCCCTGTGCAGGTGCTGCTGCTGCGGTGGGGGCGGTAGCATCGGCGGCAGAGGGTGTCGGGGAGGCGAGGTGCCGTCGCCGCCACAGAACAGGCAATTGCACTTCGGGTACTTCAGATAGTGGTGCAACGGGTGCGGCGGCAGCGTCGGCGGCGGGTGAAACTGCTGCTGCAGCGGCGGTTGTGCGGTAGTGTGTGGGTGCGGCGCCGGCGGGTCGTCCGGTCTCGTCCGGTTCGGGCTGAATGGTGAGTCGGTGTGCGAGCTGCGCGGCGACCGGTTGCACGACGACGACCCGGCCGGGCTGAACGGCTCCTCGTAGTCTTTGCACGACGACCTCCGCAGAGACTCGTCGCTATCGTACCCGATGCCGTTCGTGACGATCGCATCGCCGTGGCCGCCGTCCACCACCACCATGGCGGTCACTGATCCACCGCCGTCCTTGATTGTCGACTCGTCTTCTTTCACGGCGACGACATCGATTTCGATGTTGTTGTTGTTATTATTGTTGTTGTTGTTGTTGTTGTTGTTGTTGTTATTGTTGGGCGAAGTCGCCTGGCCGGCCAACCTGTCGAGCACTTGGTTCAGGCGTTTCCGCTTTTTGTGTTTGACGACTACAGGACGCGTGCTGGGAACGTGGTGCAGGTGGTTGTTGTTGTTCGTGGCCAGCGGATGGTTGTTGTTGGTCTTGTAGATCGTCGACCGGCTCGCCCTGTCTGTCGGCGGCTCCATTTCCACCTCAGCCATAGTCATTCGTGCAGCTAATCGAACAGACGTTCAATCACCGCAAAACGACGCACGCGCACAAACACGGTGACCTGAAACGAGAAAAATTTCGGATTATAGACGGTCGTCAGAAATCGGTGCAGACGACGATTAGTTATTACTCATTATAAGAATTAATATAGATCCTTATGTATAAATAGTTAAGCTTAGAACAAATGTTGTTTAATAATTATAATAAGTCTACAATATAAGTTAGTTGACAAGAACACAATAATTACTGCACAAACACAGCATTGCTTTATGTCAACCGTTTTAGAATATAGCTGCTCAATGTACAGTTTATTATGGTCAGCGATGAACCGCAACCCTGGGATCAGCATAAATAATTTCTTTGACCTTAAAGTATAGATGAAAACCTTTTCAGAGCCGAAATGCACATGTTTGTAGGTTTAGAATGAATTTATCAGGGTTTGAAACTTGTTACCGACTTTACATTATTTTTTATGATGAAAAAAATAATACATGTACCATGAAAAATCTTAAATCTGCATTTTTATAAGGATAAACTTAAAAAAATGCAGTTATTCAAAAATTTATTATTTATATTATCTATATCTATGTTATAAAAATTTAAAATAAATCTGTTTCTAATTTAATTTAAAATATTGATATTATTATAATATGTATTTATTAAATATTGGTAGGTACCTATGCGCGGTAAAAAATAATTATTAAATTTATGTAGGTACCTAGTACCTATATATGATTCAAAGTATGGATGAAGACTTTTTTTTTGAATTAGACTTCTTTATAAAAGAAATTTTTGTATTTTATTTTTGATTTATTAACAAGAAAATATGCGTTAATATGTATAAAATCTTTAAATATGCAAAATCACTTAAACCTGATAAAATATGCTAAAATATGCAACATATACGTTTTTGGATTTAAGTTGAATATACTTATTATGAAACGAATATTTGTCGAATCACATTTATAATAATATGCAAATGAATGGAGTTCCGAGCCCTGATTATTATTATAAATATTATCACTATTATTATTATTATCGTTGAATAGGTATTTTCTGACAGCGTGATATAACTTCGGACCGAAGGAGGGCGACGGCGACACAGAGTATACCTAACCCGTTCACCGCAGCGTGAAAAAAATTGTGCGTAATACCCGGTGCGACGGGCGGTTACGGCGGCGACGTTTGAGGACACGACGCGTCGTTAATTAGTGCTCTCGCGAGCCCGGCAAGGACGCGGCGAGAGATAATAATAATATTATTAATTTTATATAGGTACCTATACAAATACGAGTATATATAAATATATATTATTATCATTATCGTAGTGTGTGTGGATACGATATTATAAGAGACGCGTTTACTATACATTATTTATATATATATATGACATTACGCAACGTCGTTGCTGCAGATTGTTAATCGACGAGAAGAAAAAAATTGTTAGCAATAATACACACACACACACACACACAATACATGTTTTTATTATTACCAATATATTATTATTATATTTTATATTATATATTTTATAATGTGTGTGTGTGTGTGTGTGATATAAAATTGCCCAACTCAATATATCGGACACAGCGGGGGAGTCTCGTCGGCCGCGGCAAAGTTGCGTGGAGGTAAAGTGCATCATCATTTCGCTGGCACAGACGAGAGATGACAACTTGTTGCAGATACCTATATAATAGCACTATCATTACTTGACGTATTTACACCGATTGCAGTGCAGATGAGGCCTCAGACAGGTGACGCCGCCAGATTTACACCCGCAGCGACCGTTCACAGTTATAATATTCTCGCGACCATTCTATCCCAATTTACATTTAGCAGTTTATTAGTGCAGTGTAACGATTCACTCGAATTGGACTACACAATCGCGTTGATGAAGAAGTTAAATATAGAAACGGTAGACCTGCAGGTGGGTGAGCGCGATGGGCGTTTCTCGTCCGAGGATTCTACGCGTTGGATATTATTGTATAATATACGTCGAACTATTAAATGTATCGCAATATTATCGAAATATTCGAATGTTTGGCGGTTACCCTGCAGCAGGATAAAATACTGTTATACTGTGAATAACTTCTTCCATTTAACAACATATTCTATTTACCTAACAAAACTCTCTATACTTAATTACTTAATTACTTAATTACTAAATACTTTTTTTTGTTGCACCAGTGATACTCCGTCATATGGAAGGTATAATGTGTATTATGTGAAAATTGGTTAATTACTATATTAGCTCCTCCGAATGAATAAAAAAAACATCTCTCATAGCATATACATTGCCTATTAGTAATTATACGTATACATAGGTAGCTGGTATGCGGCATATGTAATTGCACTCTGTATTTCTAATTGAAATAAAACAGTTATCAACATAGGCCACTGCACTTATGGCGGCTGCAGTGGCTAATAAAGCATCTCTAGTCTATACTGCAACCGACCATACGCGATTCGTAGCGAGCGGCGAAACCACTTAAAAATCGATAAAAGCGACGAAAATCGCCCAAAATCAATTGGCTCCCCATTTTTGCAAAACTTAGGTATGTCCTTCGCGATCTCAACAAATCGAAAACCCTCACAGACTGATATTTGCACGATATAAACACACGTGTACGACGACGACTGTCGGGTCTCAGTGACGGTTTTTTTCACATATGTGTACCTATACATAAGAATTTTTGGTAACTCGACTGACTGAACCTACGCACGACGTCTTGCAGTCAGTAGTAGTAGTACTGTAGTAGTAATACTGTAGTAGAAGTAGTAGTAGTAGTAGTAGTAATACAAGGGAGCGGTGCAATCTCGGTGTTAACGACAATTAACCGGTTTCGCCAGAGGATTATGGGAGACGATTTTGTTTGTTTTTTTAAATTTTTTTTTATTAGGCACTGTTGACGTTTAATTCTCGGTTTTATTTTATTATTCGTTTTCAAGACGCTTTGACTGGATCGATATAATAAAACGATCAATAACTGAAAATTCGTCTCGACGACGAGCGTAATGTTGTTCATTATCATAATATCATCTATGCGTACCCACCTGGACTATTTTGTCGTGTGCAGCAGCTACAAAGACGACGGGCGGCGTACACATTGCGATTATGTTCATAAATTTCAACAAAAAAATACGTTACTCACAACGACGACTGTGACGATCATCGACGACGGTCATCGATTAAAACTACATTTCGCAACTCTCTATATATATTATAATATAATCCGCGCGACGGCGTCTGCAGAGACGACGGTATGTGTGTGAATTTAAAATATTTCCACCCAACATTATAATATATAATATAAAATATATGTGTATATAAATATATTATAAAGTTATTGGTACGAGTTTTGTCGGCGAAATCGAAAGGTCGTTTGAAATATCGCTTCGCGAGTCACAATGATTGAGCGCTTTTTATGTATAATATACGCGGTGTATTTCGCGAGGAAAACCTACGACTATTTCATATTTTTATTTTACCTTCAATAAAACGCACATAATATTATATAGGTGTACCTATATCAAATCAACGTTGCCTAACGTCGTCCGTGGTTAACGTTTCATTAAACGGCCATTAATCCAAAATGTATATTCAATGTTATACATTAATATGTATGATAAATGAATGAGGTGAGCTGAATACCCTGCCGCAGTAGGTAGGCGTATAATATATAGATGTAGATTATGCAGAATTCGTATACGCTTTATGTCATGAGTTTTTCTACGTCCGACGTGACCGCCGCGTCGTTATTGACAAAAACGAGATGCACGAGAGTAAAATTTCAAAAAAAAAAACCCCCGGCCGTACAACTGGCGGTGGCGCTCAAACAAGTTTCATGACGGCGACGTCTGTATTTATACGTATAATATTATGGTGTACATAGATTTTCAATCACTTACCGGCTACCGCACACGACGACGGAAAAGTCCGGTTGTCATAATAATTATGTTGTGATGTACATTTGAGGAAGGCTATATCGCCATGATGACGAACGACAAAACTACAAAATATTATCAATTATCATACACCGCGAATACCTAAATACAGTTTACGACAAATCAACGAACGTACCGAAAACTAAAGAATAAGGTGAAAAACGATAATAAATAATAATAATATATTAAAATAGCAGTTGTTCGGCGACGATGATTTTAAGTATTTGCAATACGAGTGTACATATTATTATAGCAGTAAAAAATCAGTAAGAGTTAGTAGTAAAAACAGAAAGAGAACCTAAGTTTGTGCGGGTTGCTCTCACGCTGCCGCCTGTCGATATACTACAGCGATATCATTTTACGCGCGGGGTGCATAATGTGTATATGTATTGTGTTTACTCGCGTACTATAGTGCGCGCCGTATACGGACGACGGAAATACTACTTACGTATATATTATTATTATTATTATTATTATTATTATTATTATTATTATTATATAAGCCACAGTAACGGGGTGGTAAAAGGGGAAAATATTAAATCGAGCGGATTTACGAGGCGCCACGTGAACTGCTCGACGTAGGTATATATACATCGGGACCCGGGTGAGGCAGTCGTCCTTGACATTGGGTCGATAAAGTGTGCTTAGCGCGAGAGCTATCGCGGCCGATATAGTATAGTAATCGATAAAATACGACAAGCGTGCGTAAAATATACGGCTAAGAGGGTAGTTTTCGCAGGAACGTGGCCGAGGGAGAGGTAAGAGGGGTGGCGCACGCGCGCTCGTGTCTATGCATGTATACATAAATATATATGCTACCTGTTGCTGCGCGGGCGCTGCTCTCCGAGCCAACAGTTTAACCACCCAACCTATCACTGCTTTCGTGTTTTCCGACGACCGTGAATCGCGAAGTCGTTTCGATTTCTACACACACACACGACACATATATAATAACGTGGCGAGGTCATCGACCGCAACCTCCACCAGTCCAACCCCCGTCTACGCTACTACCACCCCATCACACACGTAAGAATCGATACAGTTTTAGGACGGTATCGCAATAATAATAGAGTAGGTAATGGGTGTATTAAGTATTTATATAACATACGTATGTTATACAACCCGGTACATGGTTTTCAGTTTCGCAGCATCCACAACGTAAACACACTACACGCGCGACCCGTAAATATAGTACTCCTTCAGCCGAATGATTGTTTGGACATAAATTCATTCGGAAACTGATCCAATAGAATTCGATGAACTCTTCACCGGATATATCTCATCGGCGTGACGACACGCTATACGTACCCAGTGCAGTGACGGCGACACACATGCGAAGAACAACAGGCCGGTTATCGCAAAACGCACACTATACATAATATACAAAAGCGACAATTATTTCAAATTTGAGCGTTATTATATTATTATGATTGTTGTTGTCGATGTGTGGGCGTAAGTGGGCGTAAATTGTGGGAGCGTTTCGCGCGTAGGTCGCGTCCTAAACAGAGGACGGCGCGTGGGCCCCCCCTCGCGCGAACGTATACTCATATATACTCCTACGCCACTGTTTTCTAGAGCAGTTCGCGCGGACTCTGGTCAAAATACGACATAATAACCGACGGCGACGGCTTACGTCTCGTAATATAACCCGACACGTACTGCACTGCGGGGTGCTCGCGGTAATAGAGACTACGGTGGGGGATGATGATCGATGCGATTTTAGAAATTTATTACCTTATGAACGCGAAGACCAAGTGTCGCGGCGTATTTATTACACACAAAGTCGTGGTCACCGATTGATCTGCACCAATCGCGATAAACCGACACTATCTAAGTATATAAATACGTCATACCTATTACTATATAATATATTCGAACGCGCGTTACACTTACACCCATATATGTTATTGCAGCAGAAAAATCAAAAATCCGATACGACAAACGAGTCCCCGTGATACGTAACAATTTATATTATACAATAGCGCGTAATAAAATTTAAAAAAGAGGGTATCAGCTCTGTGGAGATATCGCGTAGTTTCGTAACACGCGCGTTGAGCAATCGCAAAGCCCTCGTATGTATCCCATAAATATAGGTACACCTATATACAGGCACGTCAACCACCGTAGGCGTATATACAATTATTATTATTAGTACAATCATATTATCGTCTACTCTTATCCCTCCGCAGCACTCGGACGAAGAATTTTACACCCCTTCGCACGGACCGAATACTTACGCCCTCCGTCGACTACACGTCGTATTGTGTTTGGGGCAGTGTATATGTTTATAAACGAGTAGTACGTGTCATCGTCCGTGATGTGCAATAAGAAAGAATGAACAGCACGTGCTATACTACTATTGGTCGCTTGAGTCCAGACGGACTAACGCCGACCCACTCGCGCACGTACCAAAAACCCAGGGCCCCAACCCTTTACTCTCGACCACCGAACAGTGGATACGGATTAAGCAACATTCGGGATGCAATGACGGCATCAGACATAAACTACGGACCTCTGTTGTAGGTACAGTAACCTTGTATGGCGATGATTATGATAATAATGATTAAAATTAATAATGTACAGAAGCTCCCGCGCACTGTCATCGAACATGTGAAAATTATAATAATAAGTTTTCTCTGTGAGATTGTACATTGTATTTCACATGCGCGTTACGTGTTGTGGGCGGTGAACGCCGTTAGAATTAAACCAAAGAAAATTGTTATTAAGTGTCAACACGGCCTTTTGTTTTTGGAATACACCTAATATAATAATAATTATTATTATTATTGCGAAAATACTATTATGGTAATAACGGACAACTGTTATAAAATGAAATCCTACAATCATAGGTGGACACCACGTAAATGTATAATATGCCGCATTCAGTGATAGCGACGACGGGTCTCTGGCACAATTCCGTTTTCTATTTACTCCGATAAATTAACCGATATTAAAAACATAACTCTTGGGTCTTGTTTAAATATAAACTACGAGTCTATAACGTATGAGTACACAGTACACTGTACGCGTAAGATACATTTTATCGTCAAAAAGACGACCGGACATTTGTACAGAATAATAATAATAAAAAATACGATTGTTTTCTTTAGTAACATGACCTATATTTTATTCATTACAACAGAACTAATTGCGAGTTATTTTTCTTTAATATGTCAAAACAATACAATTTAAATCCTACACGATCTATTATATAAACTTATAAACCCGAAACTAAAGTGTCATATTTTCAAGGCGTATAACAACAAAAGATAATAATAATAAATTGTTGAAATTATTGTTTTAATTTAATTGATATTTTTGGCGATGTCTGTACAGTTATTGTTGACACTTGAACCATAAAATATGCAGTTATATATTTGCGGAAGGTAAGTTTACAATAAAATATAAAATATACATCAGCTACCTACCTAATAATATGAAGAATTTATAGAATTAATACAGGCCGTAGAATTTTTTTTTTAATTAACCTGTATAACTTCTGAACGGAAACGTCATATTAGAATTTATAAAAAAGCAAAAAGAAAAACTAATCGTCTGGTAAACAATATTTAAAAATTATGTATTTTTCGACAATGAATAAGTAACGGTTTTGCTAAACACAATGGCAGGATGCACCTTTTTTATTTTTATTTCACCCACCAAATCTGTTCAAAGGTCATCGGTACATCCTTGGCAATCATTAATTATTTATCCTTGAAAAATATTCAACATTTGAACTCGTCTGGCGCACGCACGTTCAGTTCACCTCCCCCATTTCGCATAGTATTGTAGAAAACACATTTGAATATTCAGCCTTTGTGCATGTATTATTTAACGATAGTTTTTTTGTTCTTCAAAATTAATTTCCTGGAGGCTCAGGTTACTTATTTTAATGTAGACTAGGGCTTTGAATTTTCTTTAGTAATTTTTTTTTTCAACGCCAGGACAAAAATGTTTACTTAATTTTATGTAAATAGAAATATGGATGTATATATTTTTAAAAACGGTAATATTTTTCAGAATATGTCGATTTTATTTTTCCCGAGGGACGTCAATAAAAAAAACATTCTCTTTTAGATAGTAAAAATTATAAAATAATAAATTTTGATCGTAAAACAGTGTCCGGCGCTATTAAACTTGACGTCGGCCGTAAACGATTTGTTTAATAAACATACCTAACATAAAAGCATAACTACTATTATACGATTCATTTATAAATTATTATAAGTATAGCCGTGTAGGGAATTTGTTAGTATACGTAGAATTAATTTTATTCAAGTTTTATTTTATAAGCTTTAAAGTTTACACATCAATGACAATCTCATCTTATATATGAATCGTATTACTTTTGTATATTTATAGATTTTTCAATTATATCTACCATTGCATAACCACGTTGTAAAAATGACGAATATTTTTAATCAAGTCCACAGGAAAAATATTTTTTTAAACAAATTATTTATAATTTTCCAAATTTATGTCAATTATGTAATAATTATTAATTTTTTCAACAATGAATATTTTTATTATTGCTAAATTATTCGACTTGTGAAATCTATGTCCGGAATTGAATTTCATCGGTCGAGCGAAATTCATGAAGTACGCGGGTGAGTTTAACCTGGTGTGGAGGGGTAACTATATTTTTGCACTAAAGCATTTTCTACCGGATGTGCCATTCAAACAAATTAATGTTCTTATTTCAGTCATCGCTTTATCCAGGCTATTCTGAACGCCCGTAATTAAAACGCGATTAGGACATCGACGACGACACTTATTAACTACAATATACATACTAAAGAATTTTGACCACACCGAAACACGATAGACCAACGGCCTTGCATTACCATATACACGGACAATCGATTTTTCGAATTCATCGGTCACTAATGGGTTTCTTATTACAATAATCACCGGTTTTCCTCTGAACTTGATTTATTAGTTATAGGTCGAAATTTAATTGAAGCCCTTGTTCGACACATCACACACACACACACACACACACACTCACATACACTACTGTTCTAGATCGATAATTACATAGGTCGGTATGAATTTCGATAAAATCAACGTGTTATTAAAGTGTCTCGGGTAACGAAAAACGTCTTAAGTAAAGTTTAAACATTTTTTCGACGCGTAATCAAATAATGAAATATACCTACATGTGCGCACAGACACACACCAGCCAAGTCGTACATTTGCCGAGACCGTCGGAATGCCGGGCGTGAATGTTTTCAATACACGAAAAAAAATTAATAACAACGACAGTGGTAAAAAAAAAATACCTCATAAATATTTAATAATAAATATAATGATAATAATAACACCGGGATGAATAATATACACACATACGATTAAGTGCGCACGTTAAAACACCGGTAAATCTTTTCACGGCAAAAACGACCTACGTCGGAGCGACGACGACGACGATGATAATAATACCCACAACATTATTATTATAATATTAATAATAAAAACGATTCTGACCTGCTGAAACCTGGGTTTTCTTTCTGTTATTTATTGACGACACGAATCCGACGACAGCAGAAAACGTGCGATTTTCGAGAGCAAACGGGCGAAACTTCACGACGGCAGCCGTACATCATCGAAAATAATATTATTACGGTAGGTAAGTCACAACAACGCTCAAAGTATAATAATATTATCTCGTATCGTATAAAATATGATGCTATAATGTTGTTGTACTCTCGAGAGGCGGTAGAAAAATGCACAACGAGAGACCGCACACAAATCCGATTTACACCGAGATCGAGAAAAAAATCGTCATGACAACACTATATAATAATAATATTTTATAATATTATCTCATGTGCGTGTGTGTTGGCGTTTACGTACTTCGGCGGCAGAAACACGACGAGTGTGCGAAAGTATTAAATAAAAAATTGATAATGTATAAAATATAAACGACGATGGCGGTAATAATAACAAAAATATTACATGAAATAATTTTTGTATAAAAAAAAAAACTAGCGGGCGCGTGTTGATCGGGCTCGGCGTTATAAAACTCGATCGTGAGACACGTGATCGTTGCGCGGGACGCGTACACTCGTGAAGATGACACACGACGAACGTCCGGACCGCCACTGGCTGGCCGGAGAGCTCCGCGATCACGTCGCCGACCTATACCTGGCGCACTCGTGACGTCCGGCGCTCCGCTCCGCGGTGACGGCCGGCGCGCACACACGCGCACCGACGCCGCCGACCGCGCACGAACGGACACGAAACGATAGCCACCTCCGCCGCCTCCGCCACCGCCGCCGCGTCGACGACGACGACGACGCCTCGGCGGCTCGCAGTCGCAGCCGCGACCTCCCCGAAAATTTCGCGATGATGTTACGTGCGATTGTCGTCGTCTTGCCACGTGCTCACCGTTTTACTGCTTTTACTATTAATAATATTGTTCATTTATTTTTTAGCTGCTCACTAATATTTAATGGACCAATCGCGTTTCACCAAACATAATATTATAGCACGTTTGGCGATTGCTCATGCGGCATGGCATTGCCCGGTGTTGTTATTATCATCACGTTGCGATTTAACATTGTTACGAATAATAAGTAATCGTTAATGACGTCGAATCGGTTCCCTCGGAAGAATATTAATTCTACAGACAAAATTAGGAGAACTGAATCCTAAGAGACAAAGACCCCCTGCACCCCATATCGAATTCCACTAGTTGCGCCGATGTCAAGCACCCCTCCCCTGCAAACGAGTCGTACGATATTATATTATTAACTGGAACACGGTTATCAGTGGCCACGAGCCGAAGCCTAAAAATAGCTTATTGACGTAACGACCGTATAAATTGTCTCTAGCGCGCGTATCTTGTTATGGTTAAAGTAGGTAGATTTGTACATAATAATAACGTCGCGCGGTACTCCTATATTTATACATAGGTAAACATATTAATATGTTTATACATGAATGTGGAATACGAGAGAACGAGGCGAGCGAACGACTACAGTAGAGCAGACAGGTATTTTTCGAGTTCCTTTAGATATTTTGTTCGGGACGTTATCTGCTTTACTCTTGTACGCGTACTAAATAAAAATAACCCGATGCCGAGCCAATCTCGTGCGATTATTATTTTTCCCGGCTATTACTCAACCGTTGTTTATCGATTTCCACTATATTATTATTGAAATCTCGTACAAGCGCATTACGTACGGACCCGGTAAACAACCCGTACGCACTACAACATATGGAGCTGGCAGTAATGCGGTACAATATTCATAGGTATTCGATTTTATCCACAACGGTTGGTGTTGTCGTCGCGTGCTCACGGTCGAATAGTCTGGTCTGAGAAATTCGCCAACGTCGTTCCTCACTAAATTCTTCCGCTACATCGCGATTCGTGAGTGTTGAGTTGTATGAACGACAAATAACACGATAGGGAGGTAGTATATAATAATAACAATAATGGTGTAATGTGCGCAAATGACTTCTGGGATAAGCCGAAACACAACAAACCACATGTGTGTACGGATGAAGGTTTCCCGGTAATATTTCCAGCAAGAAAATTCGGCGGAGGGGTCCCGTACTCCCGTCCTACAGGATATTATTCGATTTGTCGCCGCAGGGCACACCATAATAATATAGTAGGTAATTGCGCCTTGGTTTCCCAAACTTAAGTCGCTAACCGTACAAAATATGTACATTAATAACATTTCGCGGAGAACATGCACACGCGTTAGTCTTATCGATTTTATCCTGGTTCGACGACGGCGCGATAATAATAGCTCGATTTTATTAACGTCGCAGTTGAGTTACAACAGAGAAGGGCGAGTGTCGCACGTGCCGTGCTCAAAACAACAACGACTTAGGCGCGTTGAAATATCTTTGATTTTCCTTTACCACCCACAATTAACAACAATAATTACAATACATGTGCACACGGAATCAGTGAAAATTTTATTATGAATAGATTATCGGAGTTTCGCAGTATAATATAACCACGTGATAATTTATTCATTCGTGCTGTCCATAAATTATTGGATTTTCAATTGTTTTTTCGTTTGTAAATCGTAATCCATTCGTAGACGATAACCGATAAATATCAAACATTAAATCATCAACTATCAGGTAGTTACTGTGATTGAACACGGCTTAAACCCAACCTTCGTTGTGACGGTTCTACAACGTTTGACAAGAAGTAAGAACCGAAAACGCAAGTTATCGACTCCAAAATAAATTGTCGTAGATAATAGGACACGCGCTAGCGAATAAACCAACTGATATGGAATGGCGGGGAGAGGTGGGTTACACGCGCGCGCGTGTATCGTCATATTATTATTATACACGCATATAACAATAATGAAATCGTAAGAAAAAAATCGTAGGTAGGTACAGGATTTATTAATAATCGTTTTTTTTTTTTTTTCATTATACACTGCACAGGTAGTATTCAGGCACCAGTGTATAAAATAATATAAAATATCAATAGGTGTTATCGTCATCGGCGGTACGTACTTCTAATATACCTATACATATAGTATTATATGCTATAGCTCGCGCGCGCGACCCGTCGGTAAAGGAGACGCGTACACAAAACCGTTACGAAATCGATTATAATATTATTATTTTTGTCGGGAAGCCCGGAAAAATCGACCGAAAGACGGTGGAGGTGGCAGCGGCGGACACACATTGACTCACGTCCGACGCTGTCTCAAGTTTGACTCGCACGTAAAAGAGTGAGGACAAAAAAAAAAAAAATGATATTAATAACAATAACAATAACATTAATAATAAAAACGATTTTCTTTAGTCGTCGACCGGTCGACGTGTGCGCGCGAAGACGCGAGAGACGAGAGGGTGACGTCCGCCCGTCCGTCGCCGTGCCGGACCGCGCGCCGCCGAGACTCGTGCCGCCCACGTGAGTCGTTTTTCGTCCTCCCCCCTAGCGGTGAGACAACAGGCAGCGGCGCACGGGACGCGATAGCACGTGCCCGTCCGTCTTCTATTGTGCGCGATCGCACGTATAATATATGTACACAATATAATAATAATATAATATAGGTAACCCCCACACGTGTATACACACATATAACATTATATCTATTATTATTATTTATTATTGTCGTGTCCGGGGGTTGGTATACGTATGTATATATGATGCGCGGCCACCCTCGCTTTTGTAACGCACCGGGTCGCGTGTTTAACAAGATTTCGCGCCGATACGAACAACACGCAGCCGCCGCCGCCGCCGCCGCCGTATATAATATGGTAGGTGGTTCATATATTATTATTATATACGCTCGTGATTTATTCGTTTGGCGTATAGGTCGACGACGACGACGATCGGGTATCGAATAGCAGCGTGTGTGTTTGTTGCCTTTTTATCGGTTTCACATAATATACACACGCTAAACGGTAAGCGACCGCGGCATAGTCGCGCGACGGGGTGCCATCGTCGTCGTCGTCGTCGTCGTCGTCGTCGTCTGGTCGTCCAAGTCGATAAGTCGCGGTCCGGAAGAGTAGTTACTACTGTGTTGTAGTCGGCAGTAGCATAATATATTATTATTATTATAAAGTGCAACCGCACTCGCGGTATGTATACGAACAACAAAGCCTGTATAGCCCATACAACTGCACGTCTGCACCCATTTTATACGGGTGTAGTACATAGTATTATATATATATATATAGGTATGCATAGGTATACACAAATAATAAAAGGAGAACGACGAAGACGACGTATAATATTATAACGACCGTTATTGTGCCGGACCGGTGTACGTGTAATTATTTGTTATTGGCTGTTTATATAATATATTATTATAATATGCGAGGTCTTCGTGTTACACACTTCTGCGTGCGTATGTGTGTGCGTATGTGTGTGTGTGTGTGTGTGTGTGTGTGTGTGTGTGTGTGTGTGTGTGTGTGTTGAGTGTCGCGTTATAATAAGGGCGAGCTACGCGTCGTTGATATTATTCAAAGTCGACTGACGGACGGACGACCGTTTTTTTTTTATTTATACGAAACAGCGTCCCGGCCGGGAGAGAGATTGTAAAACTGTCCGAGTCCGAAGCCCGAACTCGTCGTCTGCGGACAACTCGCGGCGAGAACGCATATATTATAATAATACTCATATAATGACATAAACAATACGATCGTTTACAAACGCAGCTGCTAGCGATGGAATTTTTTTTTATTAGGGCGGTCTGAAATCGGGTAAGTTATAATATCATACGCGACGTCTTGTTTTCCGCGTGGTAGACGTTTTCGACGGATTTCGTCTGTTTAGATTTTTTGTTTCTGACTAGACCCGGGTATCCCGATGAAATCACACCCCGTAATATTATAGTGTTCGCTATTTTATTCATCACGAATTCGTTGGGTTTTGGATAATTGGTGTTGCAATAATCGTGAAATCACAAGTCACTCAAGTCACTGCAGATGTTTTGTAATAATATTATATAGATACACTGGGGAAATAAAATCTCATTGATACTCGCTGCTATTTCATATCTACCTATATATAGGTACTTATATCGGTTTTACGACGGTGTTGTCTATTATTGTTTTCGTGTTAACAAGCAATTAATCATTTAAACTCGTAGGATTAGAAAAATACCCGTTAACAACAATTTTAAATACATTTATAATCGCACATTCATGATGGGTAGAAAAAAACTCTTTATTCTGTCATAATACCAACACACCCAACCACCCACTACAATATTCTAATTAATTAAACCACTTCAACTATTGAAAAAATCTAGTGTATTAATCCGAGGCCATTAATTTTATGTCGATGTAGTATACCTAAAGGTAGAGTATAGGTAGGTACTTGGGGAAATTTGTTAATTTTCGCTTGATAAAACATTATTAGAATAAAATATCAAGTCACGAACTGCCGCCGTGGAGATACGACGACACCTCGTCGCCGTAGTGTAAGGATACTTAAAAAATAATAAATAATTGTAATAATCAATAATGTCGTCTTTATAATAATCAATAAAACGATAGCAACGTATTCGCAGAGAAAAATGGAATTCGATGTCTGGACGTGCACAACGCGCTAGAATAACGCGTGTCGGATAAGCACTTGGATTCTTATCATTACGATCGCTGCAGGACCGCGATATCTATTGAGGGGTGTGACGGGCGTAACAATGCGGTTCTTTTATGTACGAAAAGAAAATAGCTT